GGCACGCCGAGCTCCCGCGGCCTCCCGTCCCCGAGGGCGACCGGGAGGAGGGAGAGAGCTCGTCCTCCCCTGCCCTGGCCCTGAGGGTGCCGCTGGGCTGAGGGGGGCCCCCGGGGCCTGCTCGGGGAGGCGGTGGGCAGGGAGAGGGAGGCGGCCTGCGGCGGGGGCGGGAGCAGCGGCCGGGCGGCCTCGGTGGGGTCTGGGGCGGAAAAGCGAAAGCCAGCTTGTGTTGCAAAAACAGGCGTGCTGGCTTTGGTGCTAATGGGTGCTGGTTCTGACCCCGAGCTTGAGGTTTAAATTTCTTTTGTGGTTTGGTAAATCTCTAAACCGTGATATAAATAGATCGGAGAGGAAATTAACAGGTATCGTCAAAGAGGTGATGGCCTCTGTCGTGTGTAAGTCTTGCAAAGACTGAGCGGATCTGACATATGTGCCTGGGTTGCAAGATCTTGAACGTGTTTTTCTGAGTCCTTTAGCACGGAGGAGTTTCACATTTTCAGCATTAACTGCACCTCGGCACGTCCCCGGGTCTGTGGGTCTCTGTTGGGTTGCATAGCTGATTTTAAACTTCCCTTTATGATCTGCCTGGCCTTTTGCCTTAGGAAGGGAAGCGAACGATGTGAGTATGGTTGGCTGGCTTGTTTTTCCTGCAGCAAGCTAAATAGGCATTTTACTGCAGATGGGTGTACAGTGAATTAAGTCATGCATTTGACTACAAGAATAAGGCAAACAGACAAAAAATATGAACTGGAAGGAAATGCTAAAGAAGAACTTGAGAAAACAAATGAATAACTAACCTGTACTAATGTAGAGTTGGACATTGGATGCTATTAAAATATAAATTAAAAAACTGAAGCCTAGTTAAATATGCAGGTAGCTCTGGCTCTTAAGAACATTACCTCTTTCATTTACCGATGAGTCCTTAAAACCTACTGAATGAGCCTAGCTTTTATGCTTATGCCTCAACTTGTATCTCTTCTTGTTGACAAGATTGCGTATTGCTTTTTCCTTCCTCTTACTCTGACAGACACGTGTATGCCTCCAGAGAGGCTGCAATATGCAGAGCTTGAGGAGAGCACGGTGGAGAGCTTTCCAGTTGGAACCACGGTGTCGTATGTCTGTCGGCCGGGGTATATAAGAATCCCTGGAAAATCATTAACTCGTACATGTGGTAAAGACTTACAGTGGTCACCCACAGAGCAGTTCTGTACAGGTAATGTCTGCATGAGCTCTTTTGCTTTTTCCTTTTGATATTTAACAATTTTAGTTGTTTTTCAAGTGAAAATTAGTATTCTGTAATACTTTAAATGAAGCTTGAAAAACGCTAATGACGATAAGAGCAGTATATGCTAAAGACTTAGTCTTTGTGTGTAACTACAAAGATGTAGATTCTTTTTTTTCTTTTCTTTCCGACTCTCCCTAGAGAGAAAATGTAACCATCCAGGACAATTAGAACATGGTTTTATTAATGTGAAGGATCTTACATTTGGTTCAAAAGCTACTTTTTCTTGTGAAAGAGGGTAAGTATTTTGGTGAAGTTAATGAATCCTTTTTCATTTTTTTCTGTTTAGACCAGATTTAAAAAAAAAAACAAAACACACAAACAAAAAACCGACAAATTTTCTTATGCAGGTTCCATTCCAGTTCTGACTTGAAATGTCTCCTGAATTCTACCTGGAGCAAATGAAATTAAAGTTAAAATTGATTTGATTCTCTGGTTTTACTTGCTGTTTGCATCAACCAAGGCTTAAGCTTTTTAGTGAGATTCTGCAGAGTGAAAACTAGAGGGTTACCTCTAATGACTTCTTTCAATGCTCCTGTGGCAGAGGGAATAAATACATATATTTATCACCCTTCATTATTATATTGAATAACGTCTCGCTTGTCTGCGTATCGCAAATTAAGTCAAAAGCACTAAGCTCTCGCAAGGTTTTTTCCTCCCTTTCCTTTTAAGAGCTTATTTCTTTAGTATTAGTAACTTTAGAGCATTAGTATGACAGGGTACACAAAATGGTGAGACTTCCATCAGTTCCTTCAGTGATGTCTCCTTTCCTTCTCTTTTGTTTTCAAAGTTGAGACTGTTAGCAAAATTAAAAAAAAAAAGATACCATTCCCATTACACCAAAAACTCGGTATGTTATATCCCCATAATCACAGAACAGAATTATATAAACAAGGTGCTTGTTCGAGAAATGAGAGATTTCTTAAGTTTCACCTCTTTAAAAATTTTTGCCTGTCTAGATTCAGATTACGTGGAAATGATGAAATTTCCTGTGTAATTAAGGATAAAGGTGTTGGCTGGAATAGAGATCTTCCTTTGTGTGAAAGTAAGTAAATTACTACCGTGTTTAAGTTTATATTCAGATGGTGGTAGTTCATTTAAAAACAGCTGTGCCGTAAACTTTCCAGTATAAGAAATGATGGTAAAATAAGACTGATTTTTATCGTTTTGGAACTACTTGGGATGTGCCTGAGGAATGACCACTGAAAAGTATCAGTTATTGTGGCAGTTAGCTCATAGTAGTTAAAGTCAACCTCTTCTTGAATTTGAGACTCCCTATAATAAATGACCATCAGTAACTCTCAGTTATAACTGTAGCTTGTGTTAGAAATAGCTATGTGTCAGATTTTAAATAAAGTTACTTGAAAATCAAGGCTCGCTATTTCTGAGATGAACAAGATAACAGGAAAATTCTGTCAACTAATTTGTGTGATTTATTTCTAGGAGTTCCTTGTGAACCGCCTCCAAGCATAGCCAATGGGCGCTACACGGAAGCAGATAGCTATGTTTATCAAACAGCAGTAACCTATACGTGTGATAACGTACCAAAAGGCGCAGATCCCTTCTCGCTGATTGGCCCGGCTACTATTTTCTGCACGTATGATGCACAGTCAAATGGAGTTTGGAGTGAACCACCTCCACAATGTAGAGGTTGTTGGGATTTTTAATATGCTTCCTTATTATAGCTTATTATATAAGCTTCAATATCTGCCCCTTTTTTTTTTGGGGGGGGTGGTGGGAATGGACCTCCCTATAGAAAAGAAGAAACAGATCCTCTGGTACTAAATTTGATGTAGTTCCAGTGGAGATCAGATTGACTGTGTTATGGATATTGATTGATTATGACACAGAATATGACTAAAATTTAAGTTAAAACTTTAAAAACATATGTATGAGCATGCTGTTGGTCGAAGTGACAAGGACAAAATGAAGGAACTGAGAGACCATGAAGCCTGGGTAGCTGAAGAAAAATTGTGTAAAGAGCAAGAATGTGTAAGCTAGATTATAAATAGTAAAAAGGTAAGGAAGAACTCTTTCTAAACACAGCTACTATGCAAGTGCCGAAGTAAACGCCAAGCCCAGCAAGCACAAAGTCTTGCTTTGCAGATGTAGGGAGAAATACCAGATGCTTGCATGTTGTCATTTGAACCCTAATCATTATCACTTTGTTGTCTGAAATTCTGCCACTGTACAGGAGTGTGTCTTTTGGAAGTGGAATGCAATTATATCAATTATTATAATTTCTTATTTGACTGTGTACTGTTACAACTCAGTAGCTTAAAACAAGGACCTTCTCCACCTTCAAGAGAATAACCTTTTAACAAAGCCCCTCCAAAACAATTTGAGAAACTAGATAAGGAAACTTACAAGTAGTAAAAGGATGTTGTGTCTGTTGCAAAGATACTGTTAACAAATGTTTCAAAGCTGTTTTTCTTTTACCTATTTCAGTGGTCAAATGTGATAACCCAAAAGTTGAAAATGGAAAAAAGATATCTGGATTTGGACCTTCCTATAGCTATAGGGACTCAGTCATGTTTGAGTGTGATCCAGGCTATTTAATGATCGGACCAGACCTAATTACCTGTGGAGAAGATAACACCTGGTCTCCAAAACCAACTTGTGAAAAAAGTAAGGCTTTAAATAAGAATCCAACTTGTCTTGTATGTTGAGAATGTTGTAAGTCTGTCTTAACTGAATTTTAAAATCATAACGCTGTAGTTGGAAATCAGAAGCTAAGGAGGTTGACGTGGAGTCTTATCTATGGGCAACCATTTTAGGCGTTTGAGTGACTCTTAACTCCAAAGAGTTTTCGGATGAGAGTGAGTTGAGTTAGACGTGTGTCTAGAAGTTGTGATGTGGACGTACTGTGATGCTGCTGCATCGTAATAGCATCATGGTGTTTGTTCTAGTGATTTCATGTGTAAATACAGGAGAAAAGATGTGTTTCTGAATTCTGATAGAAAGAACTAGGAGTATGCACAATGAGGAAACCTATGGTGTCCTTCTAGAGTAATCAAAATCATTACGTGTCTGTGTTCTCCTGTGCAGCTCTTCAACTCTTATTTTCCAGGCGTCTTGTATAGTGTGTAGTATGTTGTTAGATTTTGGCCAGGCAAATTAAGTCAGGACTGATTTGCAGGGCTGGGGACATTGCAGAGGTTTTTCTGTAACCTTCCTCCTTCCTCTTTGTGCTAGAGGGAGAGGGAGTGTTGTACAGTGAGAGAATTTTTTACATGCATGTTCTAATAATGAGTTCCCAAAAATGACAGCCATTTCTGCAAAGAGTGTGTTTGGGTGTTCCATAATGAAGGAGTCTGATAAGGCACCGGGAAATGATTCTAGAGCTTACGAAAATAATTGACCAACAAATACGAATTTCTTAGCTACCGCATCATAAGATCATATTACCTTAATGAATATCTACAGTGATGTTTCATTTAAGTCTTCTAAAGGAAACATCTGTACTTAAAATTGTAGTAAAGTTAAACTATTCAGATATGCTGATCTATTTTTCTCATACAAAGGCAATGTATATTTGTAGAGTGAGTTAATGAATTATGAAATATTTCAAGTTTATTATCACTAAAATTACTTCTAAATTCTTGTATTGGTTACTGAAGGTGTATGTGGTGCCCCAAAGATCACAGATGGAGTAGTGATTCCAGTGAAATCTGTATATGCAAAAGGAGAGACTGTTCAGTTAAAGTGCAATACTTACTGTACTTTCCCTGATGGTGCTGAAGAGATGACAGTAACTTGTCAAGGCCAGGATACGTGGAGTTCTTTACAAAACTGTACATGTGAGTAAAAAGCATAATGGATAAAATGAAGGGCAGAGCGACAAGTTCCGAATGTCGGATGTACCAGTGTGCAGACCCTGAAAGTCAGAGGTCTGTCAGCAGGGCACCGACAGGTTATGTTCGTAGGGTTTTGAGTGTTGTGGGGTGGAGTTTCAGCAACTGAGGAAAGTTTTTGGCAGAGTTGGAGTCCTTGTTCAGTCTTAGTTTTGTTTATGGAAATTGGTAAAGTTCAAAAGCCAGTGTGAAAGATCTCTTCTGGGAGTGTTTTCTGAAGATTCTTCCTTTGACGATGGCAGACTTTATTCTCGCTTCACTTTGCACCATGTGAGCACCTGTTATAATATAAATGGAGGTTGTCATTACTTTGATTCAACTGTTTGTCCTAATGAAGCAGAGATGTGTATTTCTGTTAATGTGTCTGAAGCATGTCCATCAGCAGAAGTATCTGCAGCCTCTAGGAAGGAGGAGGCCTTTGCATATAAAATGTCTTAAGGATTGACTGAGCTTCTGATATTTACACAAATGTAGGGACTTCTTGATGCCAATTTCTTGAATCTGCTTCATGTACCAGCTCTGTTCTTGGACTTCATTTCCTTTCCTTTTTTCTCCTCCTGCCCCGTCTCTTTCCAGGTGATGTCACTCCAAACATAAATTATGGTAGAGTAGTTGAAGGACAAAAGCCTTCATATTCTGTCGGGGATTTTATTACGATTGAATGTTATGCAGGCTACAGATTACATGGTGAAGCTCGTATTCAGTATGCTGGAGGAAACCAGTGGGTTCCTGGAGTGCCAACTTGCCAGTTAAGTAAGTATGAACTGCAAGAATTTTCCACTAGAATGAAAATACATGTAACAGCAGCTTTACTTCTCAGGGACATGCTTTTGTATTCAGGAGAAATTGTTTCATGCAAACTTCCTTCTTTATTTTGACATAAGAAAAATGGGTTTTGGTAAAATCCATTTAAAAATAGGAATATTTTAAGTTAAATAACTCTTGTGATATAAACTGTCCTGCTGCAAAGATTGTGTTGGCAGAAGTGCTTGATCTATTTGAAATAACTTTGTGAATATTTTATAACAATGTTTGAATAAGAAGCACATGTGTTCCTTTTGTGATACTGATTTACTCTCTTTTTAGGTGCGTATATTACGGCCATCATCTGTGGTAAGTATCTTATAAAACCTGAACAAGATGCGATGTGGATTATATTTTATATGTGGAATTGGTATTCTGGTCATCACCTGTGACTGCAGTAATATAACATGATTTTGGAGTTCGGGTTATTTTAAACATGCTTGTCTACTCCTAAAGCTGCGTATTTCAAGAAAAGTTAAGATTACTTAGCAATTATAGATGAATTTCATGTAAAATATGTATTTTTTTTCATCCGTGTGAGGCATCAGATTTCAAAGGCAGTCTTCCACAACTCAGTCGCTTTCATAAACTCTTCAGAGCTTGGGTTTACTGGAAGTGTGAATAAATAACTGTGCCACTGAACAAAAGTGCTTAGTCCGTCTTCTGTCCTTGCATTTGTTACCCACTTTTGTAAGCCTACCACTTTCTTATAAACTTGTTGTAAAAAGTAGCGTTAGGATGTTGACCTGTTTGTTTTGATGTTACTGAGCTGGTGGGGTTTTGCCATCTTGGAGGTCACTGTTCTTGAGCTCTCAACTGTCTTGAAGAGTCTTGAGTAAAGCTTCAAATACATATTTGTGAAATAAGCCATGCAAATTTTAAGTTGGGTTGGGGGGAGGGGGTGTGTGTGTATAGGACTGTGGATGAAGACAGCGGTGCTATTTCTGCTAAAAATTTTTGAGGCTTTTTTGTGAGCTAGAGATGATCTTTATCACTCTAAGGCTTTTTTTTTTTAATTCTTTCTAAAGTGATTGTGGCAGTTGTGGTGTTCCTGGCAGCCTTCTGGGTCTATAAGAAATTCTTTTCACAAAATGGGTGAGTAAGCCTACTTTTTTATTATTATTATTATTATTATCATTGTTGCAAATTTCTAAATGACTGAGCAAAAGCAGTGCTAACATGTATGTAAGTTTCTTGAGCTTTATCTGCCCTGTCTTTTTCAAATGCCTGATGATTATATGTGAGCTTATCACAGCAGCTGATGGGAAGCTAAAGTGCCTAACAATATATTTGGCTTTGGTTTTGTATCTGCTATTTGGATAAGCTGCTAATTAACACTTGCACTAATTTCAAGGAAGGAAGAACCCTGTTCTTAAGCTCGTATTTGGCATAGGTATGCTTGCCAAAGAGAGTACTGTTTGCATCTGCTCTAAAACACGTCAGTTTACCTCTTAAAACCAGTGGTAGCATTGGCTTGTGTGGGCTTGTGTTATTTTATTGCTTGGCTACCCTCTGGCATCACTAGGTCTCACAGGCTTTAGGAGCCAGAATGGTTTACGTGAACTGGACGCCTTGGAGGTGAACTGAGGAGCGTCCTCTCTTCTACATAAGATGTACCAATTGTAGTGGAGGGTAACTGGAGAACCACTGTGGTTTTGTGTTTTCGACCAGAAACACCTTGAATAAAATAATACGGGCTTAGTTACAAGGAAAACGTGAAAAAAATTTGACCTAAACCAGTGCTCCTGTGCTGTTTGAAAAAGCAAATAGTCAGCTTTGCTACTGGAATGTTTCATGTGTGGATCCACTTCATTTTTTTGTCCTGCAGCAGCAATGATAGGTGTCCCTGTGTTAAAGACTTGCAAAATCAATTGTAAAATAATAGATGCATAAGTAGTCGTGTTTTTAACGAGACATATAGGGCCTTTTCAACTTTATCTTCAGAACAACCGATTGTTACGTATCGTTTTTCATGGAGGGGTGGCAGGAGATTTAAATGCCTCTGCGCATTGCTGCTTGCAGTGATGTCCTATTTTATCTTCTTGAAAAAGGCCTGCCTTGTTGGAGAAATAGTTTGTAGCACACAATACTGAAAATTCAGAGCAAGTTAGGTGGTACACATAGAACGTTATGATAAGCATCTCATCAAAACTGACTTAACTGTTAGCAAAATCTGTTGGAATTTAGCTGGGGTACGTGAAGCAAAGGAAGGGATGTTACAAATAAAGCAAACCAGAGGAAATACTCCTGCGGTTCGTATTTGTAATGAAGTACACACAGTACAACTTGGGAGAACCCTGACGCTAGCTTATATCCAGTGAGGTTCTAGCCTTTGTATCTTCCACATAGGCAGTATGGTATCGTTACAAGGGCCAGAGTGGCCCTGCAAGCAGAGTGGCTGTGTACCTGTGTGCTGCTAAGTAATTCAGTGCTTTTGAGCAATTGCTTTTCATCCATGGCTTGGATAACCTGCAATCTGGATGGTCCAAATAAGAGTACATGGGAGTTAGTAGTATTAGGGCAGGTCTTTCTGCCTTTATCTGTGCAGAGACTTCTCAGGGTGTAGAAAGGAGGAGGGATCTAAAGCAACATCAGCAAAAATTAAAGAATGTTATATTCCTGAAAATTTTACAACGTGAAAAGTCTTATTGCGCCCAATGCTTTCCTTAAGCTTCCTCGCTGTGAACATCTGACTATTAAACCTCTTTCTGGTCTGAAAACCCTGCTCTAATCTCCTTTTATTAAGGCCTAGATCTCCCTGTTTAGTTTTCTGGGTTCCTGATGTAGCTGAGCCTTTGTGAACTCTTGTGCTTCCAGTACCTCATACTTGCTGGGTTGTAGTCTTCAAATTAGAGCAAACATCTTTTCTTGCCCTCTCTTTCTTGTGTGTTTAATCTGCCAGTTCTATAGGACATTCAGTTAGACCTCTTTCCCCTTCTGCTCTTCAGCTCGTATGCAGTTGATGAGAGTTGCAAGGAAACGTGTATTTTAAAAACTAATGTACCAGCTGAGATGGAAGAAGCTACACAAATGAATTAATTGAACCTTAAAAAGGTATACACTTTCCACTTAAGTTTCATTGCAAAAGTCCAAATTAAGTGTTTGGTTTGGTTTTGGTTGTGTTTTTTTTTTTTATTACGGCTTACCGAGGATTTCAGGAGAAGTGTGGAATCTATCTAGCTGGGAACTTCAGTTTCCTGTAGGAAAGACCTATAATAACCATTTCTTCATTTTGGAAGAATAGGATTACATAAAAACATTATCATTCCGTGCATGAATGATAGCTTCCAGTGATTGCATATCACATAGCTTAGTTTCGGGTAGTCTTTAAAGAATGAGTAACATATTTTTCTGTATTATATACATACTCAGTGGAATGTTGCACCTGTTTCAGTATTGTGAAATGGATTCCAATGGTGTGTTACTTTTGTTAGCCAGTAGTATAATTCCCTATAATTAGAAGACCATTGGAGCTGGAAACCACCTTTGCTGCATTACACGGACACTAGAATTATAAAGGTAGTGCTCATCCCTTCAGAGAAAACAAGATTACATGTCTCTCAGAATTACCGACTCATCTGCATTTTCAGCTTTCTAGAAGAAAATAAAATAAATGAAGGTGCAAACAAGATCTTTTTAAACCTTTTTATAAAAAGATGATTTCTTTTTCAAATTCAGAGTTCTGTAGCCCTAAAAAGGGTCAAAATATAGTTGCTTGTTTGAAACTGATTTCCTCTCCTGTATTTTGAACTAATGCTTAGTCCAGTAGTCAGATGCATTTCATGATAGTTACAATTGCTCTTGCACTTGTGTTAGGGTCAAATTAGCTCTTTCAAAAACCTGACTCTTCAAACCTTGTTACAACGGGACAGATTTAAGACGGGATAGCTTAGTTTGACTGTTCCTTGTCAGTATTTTGTCATTACTACCCTAACAACTAGAGTTTGCACTACAAATACTTTTGTAAACAACTATCTTCATTTGTGTTGCTTTTCTCCATTGCGGAGATTCTGAGAAGGTAATGGTTGAAACGTTATGTCTCTTATTCTAACTTAATGCAAAGGTCTTTTCAAGTGCATAGTCTTGATTTTTATTTACTTTTAAAGAACAAGTGACTTTCCAGTATTTTTTAATAAGTTTGAGATGGCATATATGAAAATTAAGCTTCGAGTTTCCTCCAAAATAATGTATGGATTAAGGAATATTGTCTTTACCTCTGAAGTAAGATGTTTCTAATTAAGCTAGGATTAGTGTTCTGGGTTAGTTGGAGAGAGGGGAAAAAAGGAATCGAGTTCTTAGGTCCAATTTTACGTTTTGCATGTGAGAATGATAAGAGACGTTAATGATCTGGTATGTGTACACACTGTTAACCCCTGAGTTTTTTCTTACGGTATCTAGAACTCCTTAGAGGTCAAGAATAATAGTGCAGAGGTTTGATATAGGGTTTTTTTTCTGTGAAGCAAAACAGGAGTTCCAGAACTTCAAAATACATATATGTGGATGTAATTATGAATTTTAATCCTCATATGTTTAAGTATTGTAAATTTGCTGTTAGCGGACTACAAAATCAAAATTCTCACAAACTAATACTCAGCTTCTGGTTATAAAATATGTACTAAACAACATACTGTATTTAAAATAAATTATAAGGGATGCTCCTGATGTAGTCTCCAAATTAGTTAGGAATCCTGAAACTGTTCTGTCTGTTTTCAGTTTTTGATAGGCACAGTCAGTGCATCACTTGAAATGATCCATTTGGATCAAATGCTCTTCTACTCCCTGGGTCATTCTTAGCAGTCTAGTGGATGAAATGAAGCAAAAAAAAAAAAAATCTCCTCAGTCTAGCAGTTGCTTAGTAAGAAGAGGACAAATAATGATTTAGTTTCATGACTTTGCCTGTTGATTTAATAATAAAACTAAGGATGTGCTTTCAGAATAAATGTAAAAACTATTTAAATGTAAAATCTCTGATTTGACTTGTTTTTTTGTTTGTAGGAAACGTGACAGCACTCCATGTACTGCCGAATATAAGATCTGTAAAGCATGAATGACCTGTTTTGGGGGTGGGAGGGAATTTGCAGTTGAATATACCTATCAGAAATGGAAAATGATTGCACTTGCATTGAGTTTCTGTAGATGAATATCTTGTACCATGTCTTATACTACTGATTAACTGTAGTAGGACATCATTAACAGGGTAAAAAGAATATATATATATATATACACACACATCTGCTTCTCCTTATGGGCCACTCGTATTGTCTTTTCTGTGTATGTGAAATGGTCTCAAAGGCACATACCTGTAGCATGCAAGAGTGTCTGTGTCGGCGGGAGTACGGGACGTATCCCTGTCATAGACCAGCTGCTGCTGCCTGCTGCCTTCAGTGCTACCTCTTTTCTTACAGAAGACTATTCACTGTTAGTTCTGCTCACTAAAATCCGAATGTGCTTCTCGTTCATTTTTGCAGTTGAGGTGGTATAAATGATTATGTTCTCTTGTATTCTGAAATGTTTTATTATTAATTTCCTTAAGAGATTGGTGCCATTTAAGGCTATGTCTTTTTGAAATTATCACAGTGTAGATCTTATATACGCTACCTTTTTGTTTGCCAAAGTTGGTATTTTGTTCTAATGAATTAAAATGTGTCTTTAAATCAGAGTTTTATAGCTTTTTCATTGCCTTTAAGAAGGAAAAAAGCCATATATATTTCTGGCTCTTTGATATAGTCCTGGAAAGACTACAGTGGATTTGTTGGAATGGAAAACTGAAGGTTTCTATAGCAAAGGTGTCCCTTGCCTTTGAATTTGTTGGCCTATTGACAGAAGGTACCCAATTAAAGGAACCGCTGAGAAATCTCTGGTAGCCATCTCCTATCAGGAGCACAGTGTAAGTTCTTTAGGACGCTTGATTTTTCTTGAGCCTTGATGTCAGTTTTGGAGATAATTCTGTTGATTTTCAGGATAGAAAGGGTGCTGTATGGATCTAGCTTCCTTGCTTTTTTTTTTTTTTTTTTATTTAAAATATTGTATTCAACAAAAAGCATTTAAAACCTTTAGGACGCTTGATTTTTCTTGAGCCTTGATGTCAGTTTTGGAGAT